CTATAGGTACATATTTAAGAAAATAGCTCTAGTATTAATTTAAATTAATCACTTAACATATTTTAAAATATTTAAAAAAAAAATAACAACATTAAGTCGACAAAAGTCGACAATTAATTAAGAATTTCTGTTTTAGTAGGTACTTCTCGAAATATTTTTGTTATTAATTAAATAATCCCTAAATCATAACATAATATGATATGCAGTGCATTAGGTATAATCAACTAGTTTTTAATATATATTATCTTAACTTTCAAAACATAATTAAGTTAGAAATAAATTAATATCGTAATGTGTTTGATGCATATTGCATATAAATAATTATAATCATAAATAAAATGTGATTAATATATTTTAATGAACTTTATTATTAAATATTAAGGGATACATATTAATACATTATATAATATATAATTATACCTGTCCTACCTATTATTTGGTCATAATAAGTAGTAGATACTTAATATCGGAATGTACCATAATAAATTATAGTTATTTCAGTTATATTATTATACAGGTTGATCATTTTATCATGAACTACTCACTATATCAAAAACTATTAACTTTTAACGTTTTTGAAAATATTATTTTATAGAGCTTGTATATGTTGTTACAAAATAATCTTTTTTAAAAAATTATATTTATTACCATTTTTTATCGTAATTTTTTATTTACTTGAACGTAACACATTCAAATATAATGTCAGCCAATGACAAAGCCGAGTCTTGATTTTAATAAAAAAATATATATTAATATTATATTCTGAAGCAGGAATATCTCTTGGATTATTTTAATACTTACATAAAAATCAAATTTAGAGTGAGAGTGGTACAAGTACCTCGTAAAATGTTTATCTATTACTCCACTTATACTCTATACTTTCACATAATATATGTATATTTTACTTCGGTACATAATTTCATATAAATGCGTAATTAAATCGGGCGATATTACAGCGTAAATTATTATTCGTATACGAAGTATAGTTTGTAGTAGAATCCAGTAGTAGAATAGAATCCGTTCGTATACGACCGGCGTGCGGCGTTCAAGAATACGGTTTTGTCAAAGTAGTAGAAAAAGTACAAATATTCGTATGCGACTATCGTTCTACTACTTTCAAGAATAGGCCCCCAGTGGCATATAAGCATTCTGGGGTCTGTTTCGGCACCTGTGTTCAAATACGCATTCTCATTAGTCGATTTTAAATTCCCGCCAAATTATTACAGACTATAATATGATAATATGATAATCATTACAAATTACAATAGACAGTGCAATTAATAGTATATACCACCTATTGATTATTACTTTTAATTAATTATATAGTGTTTTATGGTGTATTACTCCATTGGGAAGAATCCATTGTAGAATAATATTGAAACTTTAGCTTAACGTCAAATGGTTTAATATTTAAATATCGATATACCTTAATTATTGGTGATAAAAATTCCTAAATATTTCCAAATATCAACCTGAGCAAGACATTTTCAAGATTTTTTTATTTTTTTAAGATTCAGACTATAATATGATAAGACAAATTATAATATATTAGCAGCTATAAGAAAGTTGAGGGTACAATAATAAACATTAAAATTCAAAGCTGGACACTAACTTTTTAGAATGCTACTTTTTAGTTAACTATTTAACTTAACTAGTTGAATTTAATGTGTAAAATATTCTAATCTAACTCGTTAAAAATAATAACTAGTTATTAAATAGTAACTAGTTTTTTTCTTCATTTATTGAACTTTTCAATTTCTTATATTGTTAAACTTTCTACATTATAATGTCTGGCATTCCAAGGAATTAAGGTTATTACCTACTTGTTTGAAACATTTGATCAAACTATCAGTTGCCAGTTGTTCAATTTAATTTTTAATTTATCACCAATAATTCAAGTTAGTTACTTACCTACCTACTTAATACCTAATTAATTTATGTAATAGGTACATTACATTTGAAAAAAAACAGTTTTTTAAATTTTAATTTTAACCTAAAAAAACTTACTTGTACTCTAACTTAAGTTAATATTTACTCCAAACTAACTTCTAACTAAGGGCCAGTTGTACAGTCTGTGATTAAAGTTAATCACAGTTTAATCGGTCGAATTTGGTAAATTTCAGAAACTAACTTATTTTCTAACTTTATTACTTTTTATACTAAAGTAGGTAACTTAACTATAACTAGTTAACAAAAGTGACTAACTTGTCCAGCTTTGTTAAAATTATTTGAATGTAAATATAATAGCATTGATAATAAAATAAAATACTATCAATGATAATAGGTATAAGGAAATATACATACCTATAGAAATGTATGCATGATAAAATATATTTAGGTACCTAGGTACATCCTATTTTTACATTCATAAAATGCCTTCCTAAGTTCAGAGTATAAGTGTACTGTGTACTAAATTTTTACTTACAACGCATAATAAGTAGGTATTTAATTGCATGCCTATAGGTACATTGTACCTATACTTGTCTTACCTAAAATAATAATACTTTAATTATTTGATCATAATTCATAAGTCATAACTAATATTATTGTAATTAATTTTTTAGGTAATACAAATGTACTTGTTGTAAGAATGCAAAACACCGTTTGTTTTTGTTTAATATATAGTGTTTTTTTTATTCTTGCATTTTGAAAAGAATTATCATATTTATTTAATTGTGTTACAATATATTATTTTCATTTACATATGCTCTGTTGAGCTACAGATATTTTATTTCAGTTCAAAATAATTAATTTATTCAGTTTTGTTTTACAGTATTTTCTTTTAACGTACATATGCTCTGTCGAGCTACAGATATGGTTTTTTTTTAAATGTGTGATGATAAATTACAATATTTAAAGACTCACGTGGACCGTTGAAAGTAAGAGACAGAATACGGAGATGTTGTGTCCAATGGCAGCCTACTCTGCTGGTGGTGCTGGATGACAACAATACAAAATGTTCCCGGGCGGTGGCTTGACTCGTCCTCGGGGTACAGGTACTGAACTCTCCTCGTCGACTAGTTCCAACGTGGTTGACGATATTGATATTTATCAATGTGGTATCATGCGTTGGTTGTCGTACGTACCGTCAATACGTCTGCGATACGTGAACGACGACAACAACAACGGTGATACGGCAACGGACTGATATGATTACAGCGGCGCGCTCGTAGTGGCGGCGGCGATAATAATACTACACGCGGCGTGATAACGGCGCTCGGCGTAGCGAAGATAGTAACACGCGGAGGGACGATAATACGAGTCTACCGGTCGCGGCGGCGCTCGTCGTGCGGCGGCGGCAACGGGGACAGACAACGACTACTGCAACTGGGCACCGGTGGCTTGAACAGTACGTTCTTAGGCGTACCACCACCGATACCTAGCGATAGTGTTGGGGGGATCTTCCCCTCCTTCTACTGTTAAGTGTGAGTGGCTTGAACAGTACGTTTTGAGGCGTACCACCACTCACACTGCGAGTATAGGGAGAGGGCTTTGCGGGAGAAGGCGGTTTGAAGTTACACACTACTGAAAAAGGCGGTAAGTTGAAACGGCGTGTTATATATTTGTCGATACGATGCGATGCGATTCGATGATGCGATCTAATGAGTTGATTTCATTGACCGTGCTGGCTCATATTTATGCCATGTTAGTACTACGGGTGGTGTGTTGTATGGATGAAAGTAGGTAGTGGCTTTCATTATGTTTCTGTATGTTGTAGACCCTCTACCCTGTGGGCGGCTATATGTAATTAGGGTGTAATCTTCTGGGGAAGACAATGGTTATGATAGTTTTATGGGCTGTCGTGGTTGTTTTCCATAAAGTCGCTGGAAGTGTTGACGGTCGGAAAACCTGCGTAACGGCGCGCACTCTATGCGGCGTCATTGCGTCATTGGTTTTCTGGATGTAATTCGTGTTTTCTTCTTCATGCAACTTCTTTGGTACTTCTTTATATGTTTGTCGTGTTAAGAGCGTTGTGTAGCTTTAACTTATATCGTTCACTGTGCTTAAATAAGTCGTTACAGTGAAAAGTTGGTAGCATGAATAGGTATTCCTGTCGGGACGGCGGCGCGTGTTAATAGTTTTGGTTCGCGCGTTGGCGCGTACACAGATGGCGACACATATTTCGTTATAATTAATTATAATGGCAATTCTGCATCGTTACATTGTATATTCTATTTTATTGATTTATTCTATAAGGGAAGATCTGAATAGTGATATTATTCTCATTTTATGTTACTTCATAACTCCTAGTGGTATGGTAGTTAATTAGATACCTACCTACCAATTACATGTACCTATGATAATTGTATGGGCTATAATTTATAGGCAACTTTTAAATTAAATGATACTTGAATAAATTTTTTTTTACTAAACAGGTAGGTAACAACTAATATTGTATTATATTTTTTATCATTTAGATTCTATGATTTTTTTTTTTTTTATCTATTTTATGAGTAGGTAATTGTAAAAATACATAATTTGAAAAAAACACATTTTTTGCTGCTGGACCCATAGATCAACTAATAATTAGTTAGTTATAATAACAAAATGAATTACAATAAATAAAATAAATAATAAAACTGTTTATATCAATTTTTAATAATAGTCAATAACATAGGTATACTAATATTTTAATAATTACAATTAAAACTTAATGACCTATTCCATGTGATTTAGCATTTGGAATATTTTTCTCTGCATTTTCTGATAAATTTCTTCTTTTTTTTTTTTTGAGGATCGTTATTTTTTGGGCGTCCTACAGGCAGTCTTTTACTACCTCTTGTAACTCCAGATCTCCTTCGTGCCAAAGTTGTTGGCTGAACATGAATTGTTGCACGATATCGATGTCGCAGAGGTATTTTACTTCCAGCAGTACTTAAAAATGATTCCCACATTGCAACAGATTTAACTTTTTGTAATCTATCCAAACATTTGTTGAGTACTGAAGTTGAAACTGTATCATTATATTTTGCTAAATTTTTTGTGAATAAATTTTGAATTTATAAATAATCATGAGCAGAGTTATTTTCATGATCATTTAAGTCTACCCCTTCTTTCAATGCTGTATTATTATTTATGATGTTTGATTCTGAAGTAAGTGGTATGTAAAATGATTTTTCGCGCACATGTTCACAGAAGGCTAATTTTGCTAACAAATAACGTGATTCTGTATTAATAGCTGGTAAACTTGGCACATTCATTTCATGGTGATGACAAATAGCAGCTTGGTGTTTGCAAAATGCTCCTAGTTTTCCTTTAGGGCAAGGGCAAAATCCATTTGTTACATCAACTTCGTAAAAAGTATTTTCTGTTTCAGACTGCACTCTATATATATTTTCAGATAACTTTTTTATAGAGTCTTTTTTAATACTTACTGCTCGTTTAAGCTGATCTTCAAATACATGTCGAGCTGTATCATTTCTCCCATTGACAAAAGTCCGTAAACGTCTTAGATAATATTCTTCTAATGAAGTACAAATAAAATCTACTAATGCAACGGCATTATATGCTTTGTTCCTAGAGAGAACTATGTCCTTAAAGATACGAACATTCACTTCTGAAAAATTATTAGTTTGGTGCCCATGAACAGAAGCATCCCGAAATACTAAACACCATTCAGGCCAAATTGATTGGAGTGCTTGCTTTTCTGCTTCACTATCATCAATAACAAATTGTTTGGGAAACCATTGGGCATTAAAACCATTAGGCATTGACTGCTTTAAAAGCGTGAAAGCTGCTTTATAGTCAACTGTCGACTGTCCTTTTGTTATGAATATACCTAACGGAACTGCTCTAACACCACATGGTGCTAACATGAATGTTACCGAATGACTTTGAATGTCACAGGATGAAGTACTGTCTACAAAAGCGATATCTTTGGCAAATGGTAGTTGGTGAGCTCTTTTCATTATTGAGGTGATGACTAAAATGGCAAATGGATTTTCAGAGTACCTAACAATAATTCCGTTTTCTTCATAATACTTTTTCTTCTCTTCAAGTTTCTAAAACAAAAATTACTTATTTTAAAATCTAAAAACTTCAGAAACGTAGGTATTCAAAACTTTTAAAATATAAAAAAAAAACTATTACCCATTTAAACTGTAAAAGATGATTGCTGGATCATTTATTTATTGAATAGATTTATTACACAAATATGCAGTCAAGTTTTAAATTAAATAAATGTTTATATTTCATATAGGTAAAAACAAAACTACACCTATATATATATTATAATTTATTTTGTTTGTTACAGTGTGTTAATTTATTATCTTCTTATATTTCAAAACATTCTAATTTTTCAAAATAGGTTCTATGTTTTATTTATTTTTCTAGGTAGGTACTCACCTATGATAAAATATTTATTTATCTATTTGATGAACTATCAAATTAATACCTACCTAAGTGTCTATAATAATTTTTGGTATCAAAAAGATATTATAGATTATTATTTAGATATTATATTTGATAGGTAAATACTTAATTATCATAGACTTATAATAGATAGGTATATATAATCTATTATAAGTCAATGCCTAATGATAGACCATGAAATTATGTTCTTTTTTTTTATAATTATATTTTTTTATAAAAATAAAAAATTGAATTTATAAATAATAACAAAAACACTTTTTAATTTTGTGAAATTACCTGCAAAACACTTATATCATTAGAAGAGCCCAAATTGTTTTCTTTCCAAACATCATACCAATGGCGAATTGTCCTATATTTTGGATTGATAGTGGCGTTAGCCAATTCATTAGAGTTAATACCATATTCTAATTCAAGTTTTGATTCATGCATTTTAATAGATTCTGATATACCTGAATAAAATTAATGTGTGTAAATAAACTATAATTCAAAATATGGAAATTAATAATTCAATAATTATCTTACCTAAACCATCATTAAAATAGTTTTCAAACTGTGGTCTACATTCTTCAGAAGGCTTTAAAAAGGATAGTGCTTCTGCAGATCTAATATTGTGATTGTGATCATTATTTATCTTTATTATAGCAGGCAATCCATCCTAAAATAACAATACTTAAATACTATTGCCTATTGATACCTACTAAATAAAAATCAACTATAATATTAAATTTAGTACCTATGGCGCTTAATTGTTAATATTATAAATCATTATCTTACTTACTTTTACAAACTTATCTTTTTTTTTTTGTATCCTTCGTTGTCAATTTGATTTTTAAATCTATCTTAGCATTACACTGGGTGTTTTTCGATCTTCCTCTCATATTATCTGTTTTGGTTATCTTATTGAAACCACTATGGTGGCATACATAGATCTTTCTAGTAAATATTAGGAACAACTATTATTAAAAAGCTTTTTTGAAAAGAGTTTAATTTTATAATAAAATGTTACGATATGCACTAGGTATTGAACTATTATTGCAAACAATATCTATTTTCCTATTATTTAATATTAAATATTTAAATATTAAAATTAAATTTAAAAAGGTGGGAATGTGGGTATAACCTAGACGTACTCCCATTAGGTGGTGTAAAGAGGTCACATTATGTCACCCCCTAGACAAATGTGAAATAATAGTTATTTTTTAACTCTAAATAATAAAATATTTTTACTGATGATATTATACAACATTACATAATATTATTATAACATAGGTACATCATTTATGATTTATCTATGTTGTATATCTATTTTCTGTTATTAATAAAAACAATTTTGTTGGTATACTTACTTAGTTTTTCTTTATGATATTGTTACCCCTTGTGTTCTAATTGATGGGCAGTGGGCACCCTTGGGTACCACTGTGTTGCATAGTAGATTTGTAGTAGGTTACCAAAAGTCAATAAATGTGTTAAATTTTAATTCAATGGTTTTTCATGGTAGGTACTATTTTGTACTTATTCAAAAAAACAATTCTAAGCTGAGATTTACATCAAGTATATGTCATGAAATATGTTTTGATATTGCCATTAAAGTACCCATTAAAGTTGGTTGATTTAATTTTTGCAGAAAGCATACATTAATTATTATATTATTTATATTTAGTTATTATAGTTTATATTCATAGCATTTTATATTATTGTTATTAATTATATTCGGAAATACCACTTTAGTTCTACAGTAAAGTAGTATTGCCTTAAAAGTGTAAATGGGTGTATAGTATGAATACCTAGGTTATATCTTAAAATGATTCATATATTTTTAAAATGTCATTGTGTATAGTAAAATGTATAGAAGGTACCTATATGTAAAAGTTATAATTCAACATGAATATTTTTTTTTTTTTGAGTTATATCAAAAAACAACACATTATTGTAAAACTAGTACATTCATTGCTCCACTCAGAATTTAAATTTATAAAAATAATTATTATAAGAAAGTATTACACTTTTCCAATACTATTTGAACCAGCTAAAATATAATATAGTATAATAACACAGATTATATAAAATATAATATTTCATAATTTCATTTAATCTGTGGTAATAACAACTGACTAGTACCTTCATATTGTTGTACTAAAAAAAAGTTCTATACACTTAATACATATTATGTACCTCCCTAATAAGTAATAATATATTTGATTTGAAGAGTTAATAATATTCTACAAAAACTAGGTATTCAACAGCAGCTGTTAATTTTTAAATTTTTATAAATATTTATTTTTGTTTTGAACATTAAAATGAAGATACCTGCATTCAGTGTTATTATAGCTACATAAATGATTAATTATATTAATTTTACATTATACATTAATTTACTATTTAGTAAATACAAAGTTAACTTACCTACACACAAATTTTGAACATTCATTAAATGCTGATTTATTATTCATACACCAACTTGTATTTGTTTCATTGCTATACTCACTAATCCATTTAAAAATGTCTTGCTCAGTGAACAAATTACAGCGATAAACATATTACTTTCACATTCGATCAACTTAAACATTTTATTAATGGAGTAATACACCATAAAACACTATATAATTAATTAAAAGTAATAATCAATAGGGGGTATATACTATTAATATACTATTAATAATACTATTATCATATTATCATACTATAGTCTGTAATAATTTGGCGGGAATTTAAAATCGACCAATGAGAATGCGTATTTGAACACAGGTGCCGAAACAGACCCCAGAATGCTTATATGCATTCGGGAATGGCTGGCTGAAGGTATCATTCGTCCTAGCTGCTCGGAATATGCCAGCCCGGTAGTGTTGGTAAAGAAGAAAGATGACACACTCCGGCTCTGCATCGATTATCGTGAGTTGAACAAAAAAATAGTACGAGACCATTATCCACTACCGTTAATAGACGATCAGATCGACCGGTTGCGAGGTGCGGTGGCTTCTCAACGTTGGATCTGCGTAATGGATTTTTCCATGTGCCAGTGGATGAATCCAGTGTCAAATATACGTCCTTCGTCATACCTACCGGTCAGTATGAGTTCTTGCGAACGCCATTTGGTCTATGTATTTCACCTCCTGTTTTTCAGAGATATGTCAACTTCATTTTCCGTAACCTTATTCAGTCGGGTTACTTATTAGCCTACATGGATGATCTGGTTATAGTAGAAGCTAATGTTGATGAAGGCTTGTTGCGATTGAAAACTGTGCTACAAGAGGCGGCTGAGAAGGGATTAGATCTTAAATGGTCAAAGTGTCAGTTCCTGAAAGATTCGATAGATTACTTGGGCTATCGCATTCGATTCAATGAGGTTAGCCCATCTGAAGCGAAAACCTTAGCGGTACAGAAGTTTCCCATGCCTCGAACCGTTAAGGCAGTGCAGAGCTTCCTGGGCTTAACGGGGTATTTCTGTCGCTTCATCCGGGGATATTCGCAGATTGCATTGCCGCTAAGTGACTTATTGAAGCAAGATGTGCCATTTTACATTGGCCAGAAGCAGGAGTCAGCGGTGAGCCAGCTGAAGCAATGTCTCTCTGCCACGCCGGTACTTCGAATTTACAATCCAGAGGCTACCTATACCGAATTGCACACTGATGCCAGCCAGTGAAGCTTCGGAGCTGTGCTGTTACAGACTGACGACAATGATGGCAATCGTTTGCATCATATTGGTTACATGAGTAAGAAGACATCCGAAGCTCAACAAAAGTTTCACAGTTATGAGCTCGAAGTACTAGCTATAGTTGAAGCATTGAAGAAGTTCCGTGTCTACTTGTGGGGCTTGCATTTTAAAATAGTGACCGATTGTACGGCGTTCACCAAAACCTTGGAAAAAAGAGAACTCGCTACCCGAGTGGCAAGATGGGCGCTGTTAATTACAGAGTATGACTATGTCATCGAACATAGGGCCGGCTCACGGATGCCATATGTTGATTCCTTGAGTCGGTACCCGGTGTGTATGACAATTCATAGTGAATTTTTGGCACGTTTGAGAGTGGCTCAACAAGCAGATTCTGAACTACAGAAGATGGCGGCGGACAACCAAACATTCACTGTAATTGGAGGACTGATATACGAAGTTTGCAATGGACAGAATTTATTGGTGATTCCCCGCAGGATGCAGAGCGAAGTTATACGAGATGCGCAAAACGTTGGTCACTTCGGGGTGATGAACACTGTGACTCTTATACAACGCGACTACTCCATTAGTAATTTGCAGAGTAAAGTTGTCAAAGTGATAAACAACTGTATTACTTGTATACTCGCCAACCGGAAACAGGGCAAGAAGGAGGGATTTCTGCACAGTATAGAAAAGGGCAACGTTCCCTTGTGCATGTGGCATATTGATTTTCTTGGTCCGCTGACAGCAACGCCCAAGGGGTATACACACATACTTGCAGTGATCGACGGATTCACCAAATTTTGTTGGTTGTTCCCAACCAAGGGTACCACCGCCAAGGAAGTTATCAACAAATTAACAGTCATAGAAGCAACCTTCGGTAACCCAGAAAAACTGGTGTCAGACAGGGGAGCTGCTTTTACATCGGAGGACTTCAGAGAATACTGCACAGCGAGGGGCATACATCACATCTTGATCACAACTGGCATGCCAAGAGCAAATGGGCAAGTCGAAAGGCTCAACACAGTTATAATAAATGTCTTAGCAAAGATGAGTTTGGAGAAGCCGGAACAATGGTACCGTCAGGTGCCCAGGGTACAATTGGCTCTAAATGGATCATATCAACGTTCCATTGGTATGACTCCATTTAAGTTAGTCTTCGGTGTGGAGATGAATCACCCGGAGTATCAGTCAATGAGGGAAGTTGTCGAGCATAAATATGTAAGATGGCATGAGGAAAAACAGGAGGAAAACAGACAGCTGGCCAAAGCGCAGATCCTGAAGATACAGATACAACAACAGCGCACCTTAAATAGGTTTAGAAAAGATGCCATTAGTTACTCCATTGGTGACCTAGTTGCCATAAAGAGGACACAGTTTCTGCCAGCATCCAAGTTGTGTAGAAAGTTTTTAGGGCCGTATCGCATAACTGGACGTGAAGGAAATGAACGCTACAAACTTACAAAAATTGGTTCACATGAAGGTCCCAAGCGAACATACTCTTGTGCGGAGTATATGAAACCATGGCGTTCTATCAACCAGGACCAGACTGAGGAGGAGTCGACCGAAGAGGATGAGAATGCAGCTTCCGAGGCGGATGCTGCTCAAGGTAGGAGAGTGTGGGGTGGCGACACTGTACATGAGCCAGTTAGGCCACCAAGAGCAAGCATTGCAGACAGTGAGCACGGTGCGTCGACGCAGTGAGTTGTGATGAGTGATGATCGCGCCAAACCGTTACCTATTATTCTATTAAGTCTGTTATGTGATGTAAATGTTGTTACTTATTATTTAAGCCGTTGCAATAAAGAGTGTTCTTATAATCATTTATTCGTTGTTACTCAGTTATTCTCCAACAGATCCCACATGTATATCTGAAAAACTCAAAACTCCATTACTAGTAATCCTTAATTTGTTTGGCAATATGTAAAAAGCAAACGATTTACTTAATCCCTTCCGAATTCTATATATTACAATAGTAACACCATTTCCGGTGGTGATGATATTACAAACAGTTTCGCACATTAGTTTCCCATGTCTTAAATATGCCATCTCACTCGCAATCTACTTCGGATTCTTACAATAATAGTTTACAATCCGTTGATTTTAATTCATGTACGCTGACTCTCAGGGATGTCTACAATGCACTCAATGAAATAACTTATAAAACTTGTCCTGGTCCTGACAAAATTTCTAATATATTTTTTATGCAATGTAAATTTGTTTTGTCAACACCCTTACTTATACTATTCAATCGTTCTCTTTCCATTGGAGTTTTTCCAGATAAATGGAAAATATCGTAAGTCACTCCTGATTTTAAAAGCCGTGATATTAACCATATAATTACCTAACCTGTCTCTAAAATATCTATAATTCAAAAAATATTCGAGGGTATTGTTAATAGGATATTGTTGTAATAGGTATTGTTATATAGGAAAGTTGGTCCCCTCTTTAAAAATTTTATAATTGACGAGCAGCATGGCCTTGTGTCTAGTAGATCTACTACATCTAATCTTTTGGTTTTTCAACAATTTATTTTAAATGCATTTAAATTAAACTATCAGGTGGACGAAATATTGAAAGATTTCGCAAAAGCCTTTCAAAAGCCTTACTATCATACTATCATACTCGCCCATAAATTGTTCCAATCGGGTCTCCGTGATCCCTTCTTTTCTTGGCTAATATCCTTTTTATTAGGTCAGAAGCAGTACGTGAAATTTAAAAATTATAACTCATATATTTATAATATTACCTCTGGGGTTCCTCAAGGTTCTAATTTGGCACTTCTACTTTTTAATATTTATATTAATGATATCAAGGATAACAATTCAAATATATTACTCTTTGGTGATGATGTTAAACTATTCCGTATTATTAAGACTGGACTTGATACTAAATTGCTTCAGAATGATCTTGATAATGTGAGTGATTGGTGTGATAAAAATAAATTGTACATAAATGTTTCTAAATGTAAAGTTATTACTTTAGTAAACAAGTTTTTTAAAGGGCGTTAAATTACATCGAGTTAACCTCGTGAAAGATATGGGTGAATATCTAGACTCGTCTCTTTCATTCAATGACCATTATATTTAAATTCAAAATAGAGCTTCCTCAATGCTAGAGTTTATAATTCGGAGCTGTAATAATTTTGATAATCCTATGGCTCTTAAATCCCTATATTGGGCCTTTGTTAGATCAATTTTAGATTATAATTAAATAATTTGGTCTCCTTACTCATCTGGTCCAATTCATTCGCTAGAGGCGATTCAAAATCGCTTTTTGCGAATTATAAGTAATAAATGTCATATTCAACTTTTGCCTCACACTTTGTATGAACCATTATTATCATATTTAAACATGAATACTCTTCAGGTCAAAAGGGTAAAACATGACATTTGTTTTATATATAAACTTTTAAATGGTTATGTTAACTGTCCAGATCTACTGTCAAATGTTTCTTTTTGGTTCCTGGTCATACGACTTTACAAACTTATACCTTTTATGTGCCATTCCAGCGTACTTCATATGGTAAAAACGCTCCTTTAATTATATCAATGCAGTATGTGAATTATTTCAACATTGATATGTTTTTTTGTAATTCTATTGTACTATGTAATTTATATATTAGTAATTCAATTAATTAACTTATTGTATACATGAACCCTCATCTAGTTCATATATGTAAAAATGTTTCATTTTTGTTCTACATTAATATTGTAACTGGGCTCGCCCGTTTAATTCTAATAAATAAACAAATAAATAAATAACTCTCTTTAGTTTTATTTTCGTCAATCATCTTTGTTAATGTTTTAATCTGTTCTTCATAATATTGAATTTGTTCACAACAATAATCAAATGAATGTCAATAATTCATTATCTGTAATTTTTACCTAAGTACATTAGTATAAAATATATGATATAGAAATCTAAATTACTTATTATATTATTCAAAGCTAAATAAAATAAACTTAAACAAACTAAACAATATATAATTTATGTTATAGAAACATACTTTTAATTACTATAGTGAAGCCGCGATCACACGATAATAGAAAAAACGCGGTGGTTTCTATGCTAGTTAACCGTTTTGTCATAGCTCAAAATATATATAGTGAAAAAAGAATAAACAAACTTACATTATTAGAACATCAGTTTGAAGTACAGAGTGAAAATGGGTCCAATGTATATGTAGTAGATTTTACTGTACCAAGTTGTACATGTTTAGATTTTGAAAAGTATCATTGGCCATGCAAACATATATGTGCGTTATTCATATATGTACCAGGTTATTCATTTAATGATCTGCTTGAAAAATTCAAAAATAATGTTTACATATCAACCGACCTTAGGTACTCAATAACCAGCCCACAAGAATAAATAAGTACAATTGATTTAAATATGCAAAATAACACAACTGCTGCTAGTACAAGATTAATATTAGAAGAACAAAAATGTACAAGTGCTGAAAACATTGATAATAACAGGAATCTACCAATACAAAGTAGAGAAATTATGAAAAAAATTACAGACCTGACTTACTTAATATACCAAAGAGAATATTCTGCAGAATGGTTACAACAATTGAAGGTTCTAAATAGTGTTTATGAAAAGATGAGTGGTATGGCAAATAAAGAAGATGGGCTAAACTTATTACCTTTTAAACGCAATTCATCAGCATTATTAGACTTGCCAAAAACTACAAAAAAAAAAAAAGAATTAACCAACAAGACAAATCAACATGCTAATAAACCATAGATAAGTATAATATAATTGACAAACATACTATGTATAGTAATTTTTTTAACCTAACCTAACCTTTTTATTTTATATGAATTATTAATAACTAATATGTGAATTGTGAACTAAGATAATAATAATCGTAATAATCCGTGGTCCTTGGTGAATATTAATTTTATGAGAATTGATAAAACAAAAATGATAACGACTTCATAATGATAACAATATTATGGTGCCGTAATAGACTGTATCAGGGGTACGAAACTCCTTGCGTTGGCCGAACCAGGCGATTGCGGCCTTGAACACGGTCTTCAGGATGGCGTGGCATACGTGAAAACCCCGCGACCCGTATCCCGCCATAGACTTGGAACCAATTTTATAATATACGGGTCTAACATCATGTTGGTGCGGGAACCAATTCCATGTTTTTCGTAGGTTCAGACTTCAGATCATAGGGAACCAATACATCAATCAGCTGATCGAGTTTCGCTTCTATACTGTTCTATGGTAGTATTTATAGGAGCGTCTAAACACAGAACTGAACCGTGACCGTTATGCGCATGCGCTAGTGACATATCATAAATTGAAATATCTTATCTGTTATCTTGTTATCAGGTTATCTGAAAAAAATAATATTTTAATAATAATCGATATACCATTATGTTGGTCTATTTGCATACATTCGTTTGAAATAATATACTCCAAAGTCTTTAGTTTCAGGATCATTCATCATTTCAATAATAAATAAGGACATATGATACACTAGAAAAGTGCATTATTTCTTCTTTTATACACATTCCATGTTGTGTATTTAACTGTTCAATAAGTATTTTTTTTTTGAAAATGTTTTGTCCTAACAAGAAATACATTTGGATACCACTTTTTTCTTTTGTTTATTTAAATGATGTCTTGACAATGAAGACTTGGTCGAAAATTCTTCTTTGCATATATCACAATTAATCGCCATTTTGAACATAAAGTTAAAATAAAATAGGAAACTCTATTTTTTGTTTATAACTGTATACTGTATACTTGATCAAAGTTGCCTACCATTATGGTATGATTGTATCTTTCATGTAATTATAAATAGCTATTTATAAAACTTTTATCAGGAAAATTTTAGTACTGTAAATAAAAGATAAATACAAGATCCAATATAAATATTTTATGTAATAATATGTTTAAGATTACCATGATGTTATAAGAATTGAAAATAATCTAATATTATTTTACAAGATTAATTTCCACAATATTATATATTTGTATTAATACTACCATTCATCTTTTTTTATGTAGGTAAACAGTGATAATATGTTTTATGAGAAATAATAAAAAATGCCTAATTTTTATTCACAATTTATATATATATTTTTTATTCTTTGATTATCTAGAAAGGATATAAAAGATCAAGAAAGTACGAAATATAAATCTTATATAAAATAATATTTTATTACGCTCTTTACTTAAAATATTTTACTGACATATAATATTTAATTTATTCTAATAGCAAAAACAATCTGCACCAAGTAAAGAGTTAATTAAAATAAACAAAGATCCACCTAATAAAAAATAATTCCCCAAAATAACTTTTTTTCTACAAATTATTATAATAATAATAATTTATACATTTTAACTGATGAAGTCTAAAGACTGATTATTATTATTATTACTTAATTATTTTTTTATGTATTACATTGTAATTAAAAAAAAAAAAAGAGCAGACATCGTCTAATCATCGCATTGCATGTTGTCTTGGAATATCAGTTTTGACATTGACATTAATTGCCTCATTCCATAGAGTTTGGCTGTCATCTTACCTATTCATAAGAGAAAATAATACAATTTTAAATTATCTATTATCCACAAACATCAAATACATCATTATTTATTGAATAAGATTCCAGCTACAACAGTATTATATTATACAAAATTAACATTATAACAGAAAGAATTGGTCACCTCCAAGCTGTGTGGACCTAAAATAGAATACCTTCTGTAGCATGCATTAAAATTGTATATACATTCAAGAGATAATAGTTTAACTATAGTAAAGTAGATCAATATGAATATAAAAAAGAATCTTAACTAATGTCGACTTAATCAATAAATTATATTATGTAACTATGCGTACAGTTTACTACATCAATGTATGTATAAAATGCTCTCTAACACAAGAGTTTAAAATGTATTATATTATAATATTATAAGATTACTTTAGTAAAATCAATTAAACTTAATTAAACGATTATTAAATAGCTGTAATTACTAATTACTCATTGAGTTGTAAACAACTTGTACAGATAACATGATAACAGATAAGAGACTTCAATTTATGATATGTCACTAGCGCATGCGCAAAACGGTCTCGGTTCAGTTCTGTGTTTAGACGCTCCTGTATTTATAACGACCCTTTGCTTATAATTTATATCACGATATTCAAAAGTAAGACTATTAAGCGAGTTTTCGCGGAGGTACCGAGAGCAAACAGTTTACTAAAATCTGTTTTGGCGATAATTTTTTGTCAAAACTGTTTACTGTTTACTAAAATGTTTGGTCCTATCACTAAATGACTATTTCAAGTAGTTTAGTGCTTTTGGTACCTTTGATAATACATAAGATCATTTGATAAAAGAGGTTATTATTATTAAATAAGTACCATTTTCAATTTTGCCAATTTGCATAATATTGCATTTGCCATTTAGCCATGGCCAATACCTATTAGCAATTTGCATTTTCCGACGTGTTTAGTTGTTAACGTGAAACTTCTTGTAGAATTGTTTTTTTACAGTATACTTGTATAGTTGCTCTTTAAGTTAGGTTTTTAATACAAAAAATATATATAAAAAGTGTTTACAAAAATGTCGGACTGTAATGCACTAAAATTTGTAAAACTGGTTTGAATGAAGACGACATTCCAATTTATCATGAAAACAACGCAAATGATGTATTGTGTGAAGTATTAACACCAGGTATGTATGAATGATAATTATATTTACAGTAGTGTTGTGAAGCTAAGTAAAAAAAAAAAATAAAGGCAGCAGTACCACCATGTATATACTAACTATGAATCCCGGACGAGTGCCCCCCCCCCCCTTGGATATGTCACTGTTATTTGTATTTAAAATAATAAAATATAAATTGTTGAATGAATTTAATATACCAATTAATAATACACATTTTACAGAAGGAAGTCATGACTTTGCATATGTTAATGTTAAAGTTTTGAGCTCGCATGGAGTGGTTATTCCTAGTGTTGAATGTCAAAAAAACCAAAATGAAATTATTGAAAAAATTAAGATTAAAAATGTATTTAGTAATTTAGATGACAGCGATGATGAAATAGGTAAATATCAATATATGAATAATATAAATTGTGACAGAATTATGAATGAGTCAATGACCGCATAAGACTGTAAGCATGTATTATTACTTAATCAGAAGTACATTCTAATTTTTATCCAGCCTGGACTATAATCTATAAATACAAATTTAGTTAAAAGCTGAAATTATTTTGAATTTATTTAGAACATTATGTATAATACATAAATAGGGCCCCGATTTATATACATTTGCATGTTTTTTTTTTTAACAGTCACAAAAAGGTGCTAGATAAGCTATAAGTTTGAATTATGATCAATAGATCTGGTATACGTTTTATTTAAAAAATATGCATACAATTGTGTAATATTCATATAATACTACCATTCCAACTACATACCTACACGTATTTCTGTTGCACTTAATGTAATTTAGAAAATGCATTTTTGTTTACATATTGTACATGTAGTGAATATTTGAATGATAATCAGTGCATAAATGCATGCATATTTTGTACGTTTTTAATACATATAACTCCAGACTATAGTTATAAATCATAATATTGAATAAAAGGTGGAAGTTAGTTAGTTATAGTATAATAGTTATAAGTTTCTTAACAAATGGTTTTTTTTTTAAATAATTTTAGGAACATGTGGGAACCTTAACACCAGTCATGACGATAATGATGATGATAGCAACACTCAAGTTGATTCAGGTAAATAGCAAGATACTGTATTTCTGGCTGTATGTCTAGATTCCTTTTTTATGTAATAAAAAAAATTTACGGTATTTGATGAGTATTATGCAGACCTTAAATATTGTACCTATAGAAATGTCATTATACAAAATAGTGTCACTCAACAATATTAGTTAGATTTGTTAAATAATGTATTAGATGTGAGATGATCATTTAAAGTTTAAATCACTGTGACTATTAAACAGAAAATTAAAAGGATCCGTGGCCCTTATTATTTCATAGAAAACTTAATAACAGATAATAATGCATTTTTAACCTAAATATTTCTGTTCCCTAATTGATAGATATTACTTATTATTACTATATTTTATTGAACTTAGTATTTTATTGTTTTTTTTTTATTTAATTAAGAAAGTATTTTTTTTTAGACTTGATTTGGTCAACATACCGTTCAACACCACGAGACAACTGAAAAGTTTATTGAAATAGTGACTTCTGATCTTTATCAACAAAAATTAAAAGATAAAAGAACACCAAAGTATAAAGTTTGGCAAGATATCAGTATTGAACTACATAACCTGGGTTACAAAGTGGCTGCAAATGAAAAGGAAAGTGGTAAAAAATGCGATCAGAAGTGGAGGAACTTGGAAAATAAATACATTGCTTTTAAAGATAATGCAAATAAAACAGAAGAAGCTGCAAAAAAGAAGCCAATGTATTATGATGTTATGCATGCCATCAAAGATAAACATAAGGTCTCCCCACCCACATTGCTAGACACTCTTAAGGCAACTAGTACAATAATAACTCCATTGAATAATACTTTAGAAAGTACTTCACCGGCTGATATAGTTAACTTTGAAATAGCTAATCCAATTATAACAAAAGGTATGCATAAAAACCCCAAAAAAAGTCTTAAACCAAAATCTAAAGTGAGTCCATCCGATATATTGGATCACATGACTAAACAGCATAAAGAAGTTCTTGACATGCAGGAAAAAAA